TTTTTTTGTTGGTCTACCTATCTTATAGGATGCTTATGAAGAGTAGGAAGAATCGTAAGGAGCTTAGAGTAGGTGTTAAATAGGAATAGTGAAGAACATAAATGAAATGAAGATAACTATCTAATCTCACCAAAGAAAATGGACACACTTGAAGCCACTACGTACCAAAAAATGAGAAGCGTTTCTCCATAAAATTTTTCTTTCCAAAAAATTTAAAGTAATAAAATATTTTATCCTATAATTATAGGCATTATAAGTCTCTTCGAGAATCATTTTTGGAGGAAAAAAAGGGGAGGGAAAAAGGGGGGGTAGGTTTCCATTAATAAGAAAATATTATGAAAACAAAATTTTAATACATAATCTATACCTAAATAACCATATCATGGTTGGCCATAGAAGTTTCAATATAAAAATTATAATACAAATTAAATTTCAAATATTTAAAACTAGATCTTAATTAGGCTCTTATAATTAATTATCTTATTTGATCATTTTCATGTATTTGGTATTTTCTCTTGTAATTAGTCTTTTAGTTTAATTATTTTTTACCCATTCTCCAAGTCAATATGAGTCAGTATGAGTTATCTTCAACATGGGTTTAATTGATCTCTAAAATCATAGTTATCTTCTACTAATTATGGATCCAAATTATCCTAGTCAATATGAGTCAGCCATGTATCATCACTACTCTTTTTAATATTCCAATGATTTAAAAAATAATGCTCAATAGTTATAAAAGTTGGTGCTTCCTCACTGATGATATAATTAATCTAAAATATTTGGGACTTCACAAGTGACAAGCTATATCTCCTCAAACTTTCAATAGTAACTCTAAGCTTTTGGATTTAGTTTCATTATAAGAAAATTCTCCTTAGTTTTCTTAAAGTTCCACTAGAGGGTTTCTTCCTAAATTTGCATTGATACCAAATATGATGGTGGTGGATAGCCTTTTAGAAAGATTAATGGCTAAAAAATGTTATGGATTTTTAGTTTGATATCTATATAGGTGCTATAGAATTTATAATGGAATGATGCGGGTTTAAAATGGTATATATGCTAGTAGGAATTCCAATATTAGTCCAGTTGGGGAAAGTTTGGGATGACTTAGAATTTTACTTTTAGGAGTGGCTCTTTTGAGGGATAAATGTCTAGAAATAATGCTAAACTTTTTATATGAGGTTGATGGCAGAGTTTGGTGGAGTTTAAGAGGATGTTGAGATATAGGAAACACGACTAGTCCCAAGTGTCCCCTAGTTGGGTTAATAGCAATGTGAGAGTGTTTAGAATGGTTTTAATATTTTAATTTGTAGCTTAATAGTCTAAGAGGATACTTATAAGGTGGCGGAAGAGTTTGAAGAGTTTATATTAGGTGTGTAAGAGGAAAAAATGAATAACATAAAATAAATAAAGATAATTATCGAATCTCTGGAAATAAAAGGTACACACTTGAAGCAACCAAGCAAAAAAGCAAATTAAGTGCACTTCTTCACAAAATTGTTTCATTCCTAAAATATTTTGACCATATTTGTAGGCATTATAAGAATAGTGAGCAATCACTTATGTGGGGAAATAAAGGGATGGAAAGTGGGTTAGGTTGCATTAATAAGAAAATATTTGAACTACTTATTTTTTATACTTGATCCATACCTAGTCATATCATGACTACCAATACAGGTATCTTGATAAAAAAGAAATATAAATTATATTTAAAATTATTGCACTTTATTAGGCTCCTGTAATTCATCCTTTTTTTTCCTTGGGTTTTAGCTTTAGCTATTGTAGTTGGACTTTTGGATTGATTATCTTCATCCACATGATGTGCTACTTAAATAAGTGATTGTTATTAGTTTTTTATAATAATAGTAAAAGTAATTTGTAATTTATATTATGAAAGAAGTGAACACTTAATCTTACTGGCAACATAGTTAGGGCCTCTCATTTCACATTGATTACACTTTTATTAATGACCACCTATTTTTCCTTAAATGGCTACCCCTACACCCTTGGGGATAAAATTATAAGTCTTTTTTTAGTTTTAATTAGAATCTCATAAGTATCTTCTTTTCAACACATGTAAAAAATTGTGCTTCCTAGGTATAAAACATTAAACATAAGCTATCATTACTTGCACCCCAATCTCAAGATGCATACAATGCATATTCCAACTAAAAGGCCATAAATAAATTTCTTCCATGTATATGCTTTCTTTTGTAAATCAACAACACAATTAAGATCTGAATACTATACATGCTGTTTAAATTGATTAATAATGTATATAATCAAACTTTAGGTCTTTTATTCAATAGCTTTCGTGATGCTTATTTGATTTCTTTCATTAAAATTATTTTTTTGTTCTTAAAATGGGCCATTTCTAAAGAAATTATTTTTTCATTGGGTGTGTGCTTTAAAAATTCAATAATGCGATCACTAGATAGGAGTGTGCACTATTGGTGATCTAGTTAAATCTCTATGAACTAATATTTCTTATCATAACTATCAATTTTGAACTTTGCCAAGATATTCATTAAGGCATATTAAGTGCAAGCACCATGATGTGCCTTTAAAAAATATTTGATAATGTATTGGCGATAATGCTATGTCTTTCACTGATGAACACTAAATTTTCCACTATGCCTATTGACTTACTTATAGTAATCATAAAATATATATAGGAATCATTATTTTCTAAGACCACAACTACAAATACCATTGGATAAATCTGAATAATGTCATCTCATGTAGCAACCACAAGCAAAGTATCTCCATATATTTATAATTATTACATATGCACATAAAAGTGGGTGGAGCCATTAACATAAAATACTAAGGACAAAAATATACTTGACATGTATTTTCCAATCAATTGGAAGATTATATTAATAATTATCCAATAATTTTCTGATTTAACATGATCATATATGATAGTAATTTTTGAAAGGATATTTTGGAGGACCCCATTACATAAGTGATAGCTTGCTAATGACATTACTAAGTTTTCTTATTGGATAAATCAAGATTTTAGTATGTATTTTGTTAAGTAAAAATTATTTTTATTTTTATTAATTTAAATTTCAATAAATATATTGGTTTTAGTTGATGTTGTGTATGAATGTCTTGAAAAATGTCTTAAATTCGTAAAGTTAGAACTAGCGCTGCAGCACCATAAACACCTATGTAACAGTGCCTTCAATGCCCTCACACTTAAATAAAGCATCACAACTCTTTAGTTTCATTCAATTTTCCATTTAAGGTAACACCCTAGTGGAACATCATGTAGTGTCGCATTTTTATAAGCCCCTCAACACCACAAAAAGAACATTCGTTAACTTTGTACTCTATCAAATTAAAAGTAATTCAACACCAAAGTGCCAACCTATGGAGTACAATAACATTATAAGATGTGGTCAAGCACCACATTGCCAGTTATTTTGTACCGTCGTGACATTAGAGTTAAGAAAGGAAGTGTATTGCTAGGCTAGCCTAATGCTGATGTGGAGTTAACTAAGTAGCTCGAGGTACTCATTAATCATTGTAACACCATGATGCCACTCTATCAAGGGATGTGACACTTGAGTCAATTTATGTAAAAAATATAAATATATATTTTGTGTGTGTTTTCTTTTAAGAGAAACTCGGAGGATAGTGAAGTTATGTTGAGTAGAGTGGTTGGTCATCGTTGTTGTGAGCAAAACACTCATTAGGAGTGGAAGAGAGTGTGGAGAGCAAAGGTGTAAGGAGGGAATCATTCCAAAAATAGTCTATCTACTGGATGTATTTTGGTTTCTCAACTTTGGGTGATATTTTCTTCATCTTTCTTTCTGTATCTTTTGTAAAGTAACTAATCAAACTTGTTTTGCTTTGAATTAGTTCTATGGCTAGCCAACTTTTTTATTTTGGGTTAATGATGTGATAAGTCTTTGTTTCTCCTAATGTAGACTCTTGTATGTAAATATGAATGGTTGTTCTCAAATACTCTCATGCTTAATTTTATTTACGTAATAGCGAAGCATGAATTTAAAATCTAGTGTTATAAATTTCCTTGATGGAGGAATGCTGGAACAATTAGACGGATTGAGATAGAATAATTTCATGTGTATACATAAGATGATTAAGATTTTAGGGTCCATGGAGATAGAATCATTGTAGAAAGACCATAAACATTTCCTTACACCCTTACAAGCTTGACAAAGATCTAAGAGTTTATATGCCCTAATTCACAACTATTCTAGTTGAGTCAGGTAAGAAAAATATAGGTTTAATCACTATTATTAGTCTAGAACATCTTTAATTTTGGTTATCTTCACTATTTTCTACATTTCAGTGATAGCACCTCACCTTTTATTTCATTTTGTAGGATAAATTATTTGGCGTGAGTAGATAGCACTGGAGTTAGTTATAGTAAACTAATTTCCTCATGGATCAACTCTCTTCTCATACACTTTATTACTTGATTGTCACGCGCACTTACATAGTTGGAAGCATATACACATACATTTATTGTAGTATGCAAGCTCATTTGCATAAAAAAGTAAAGTCCCCATTAAATTTTTAGCATAGTTGATGTGGAATATAACATGTGCTTTTGTAATTATCTTTATATTTTCCAAAAATTTACATATTTAGTCCTACCTGATTTGTTTAATTTTTACTTGGTTAGTTGTATTTGCATTTATTTGTATTGTTGTTGTATATTTTTATATCATGTTGTCATTAATGTTCAAATATACAGTACAATGGAATTTAAGTGTGAAATGGGAATGCTCTTCTTCCTGTAAAAAGAAATAAAATTAAAAAAAGAAATGAAAAGAGAATGTTGATCACTTGCAAAGCTCCACTAATCATTCAAAAATTTTTTTTTTTTAAACTATTCACTGAACTTCAATGAACAAAAAATCATGAAGTAAAAAAATCAGTTATCGTTTTCACTGTACGTCTCACCACAACAATAATCACAGATCTAATTCTTCTATTCGTTTAAACCTAATATAGTGATGCATCAATTTTATGATTAATCTCCTTCATTATCATCAATGGCTTCTCCCCACATCTTGAGAAGGTAATTCTCGCATTTGCTCCCTTCGATACTCACCGGCTCCGCCCTCCTGATATGCCTCGCCGCCGTCGCCGCCGCCGCCGCCGGCACAGCACCGTCCCGCTTCAAATTATGCCGATACTCCATCACCACATGCTCAAAAACTTCGACATCGAACATGTTTATCCTTATCTGAGGGCTCATCATATCCCTCACATAAGCGAACGCCAATTGATCCCTCGGATTAAATGCTTCAAGCTCATTGAACATAAGACAGGAAAATAGATTGCTCGCCATTCCATGCCTCCTCGCTATCATCGCCGTGTCCGGTACATCTTGACAAACAAAAAAACGGATCAACAGATTTAAAATTGAATAAAAAAGATTCAATTTTGATCAACATTTTGATAAACAAGCGGCAATTTTGCTTCCATATATATACCAGTTGTATACGGTAGCTTGCTCGGGGTCCATGGTTGCAGGCCGTTCTCGCAGTAAGTCTCCATTTGATTCCTCAAAGACTCGATATCCCACCACTTTCTCCACCTCGCCGTTGCCATGGCCTCCTCCATGGTGTGAACATTGAACGGATGCTTCGAAACGGCCATGTCGACGTCCTTAGATATTAGGAGTGCGTGAAGAAGAAGCAGGGGATCGACAGTAAGCTGGAGCTTTGCGTCAAGCCAGATGCTGAATTTCGCATTGGGGAAGAGACGGTGAACGAGATACTTCGGAATGACTGCGTTCATCGCTGGATTATCATAAGGGAGACCGCCGGCAAAGAGGCGGATGACTCTCCAAACGCCAATCATGTCGCTATCATATCCCGCAAGGATCTTGTGGGAATTGAGTCCTTTCAGAGTGGAATCATCGATGAACATGAAAAAACAAACGGCTTCAAGCGTCCTGAATCCCAATCCTTTTGGCTGTCGAATCTTGTCGTGATCGCCGAAGATTGCTGAAACAACGACCACGCCGCCGCACTGCTCCATGGCAGCCCTGTCTACATGGGCGATCCTTACAAATAAGCTTATCATGAAATGAATTCTGATTCAGAATTGGCACAAACCTGATTCTTTTGCGAAAAAACCGCGAAGGAAGCCGCAAGGGACAGGGACCTGAACATCTCCGTGATAAAAAAACGATCTTCTTTTCTGCGCGGAGAAATTTCCGGCAAAAGTCTCACCTTTGCCCTGCAAATAGCTTAAAACAGGGGAGGAATAATTCATTGAGCTCAACGACCGGTTTCTGCCGATGTTGTGGATCTCCTCAAAGGCGACGCGGTAATCTGGCCATAAAAGAAGAAATTCATATGTTATATAATGAAATTCGGAGATGGTAACATAGAAAAAAGAGACTGAGAGATCGAGAGAATTACCAGAGAAGAAAACAGGGGAGGAACAGGTGGATTGAGAAGCGGGAAGAGCGTGCTTGTGCTCGCCATAGGAGGATGGATAAGAGAAGAGGAGGTGAGGGATAAGGGGAGAAGAGAAAAAGAAGCATCCGCGTTTAGAGAAGGAGATGTAGATAGAGAGGGAAGCGGTGGTGAGGAGGTAGAGGAGAGAGATGCAGAGGAGCTTGGATTCGAAGAGGAGAGGGGTTGTCACCCTCACCCAACCCATGTGCGATGAAAACAGAGGAGAATGATAATTAGGAGGAGGAAACAAGAAATGATTTGATTCGTTTTGATCGTCTTTCTGGTGGTAGGGCCTCGGTGTGGGCCCATCTACATCTACTTGTTCCGGTTCGTAAGGTTCCAACAGATCGGACGTATCCGAGGGCGGTTGAGTGCGGACGGGCTGAACCGGACCGAGCTCTACAGAATCCGTGGGGAATGGCTGTGAGGTTGTTTTTGTTACGTGATGTTGATGTAAAATAAAATTAGTAGGGAACCCCACGTTATGCGGTGCTGAATAAGTACTGTTGCGTGTTAGAAATTACGCGGCGGCAGAGTTTGTAAATTCGCGTTCGAGCGTTGCACGTAAGTTTAACACACAAACAGAAAAAAGGAGTGAACACAAAGAGTTTTTACGTGGAAAACCCAAAAATGGGAAAAACCACGGGGCCTCGCCCAGTTGTAAATTTCCACTAGTATTTTTGTAGATTACAAATGGCGGATTTCTTTAATAGAAGGACTCAAACATGATAGACCATAACAACAAAGACTAGTCCAAGGATGGTTGCCCTTAAATATTGCTACATGAGAGCTAAGGAATTTGACCCAACTCAGCAAAGCAATCTAAGGGATGTCACATCTCAGAAAAATCCTTGAGGTTGACACATAACTCCCCTAACTTGGAGGACTTTTTCCACCATTGGGAGGTGTCCTCTGAAAGCACTCATCGTCACCTTGGTCTATGAGCCATCAATAGAATTTTCTAACCCCACCACTGGGAAGGGTCATTCTATGAAACACACAAACTTGCTTCCTCAACCAACCATGAAGTTTGCTACCCTTGCAGTTCTAGTGGACCTGCATTTCACGTCGAAATGGCCCGACGGCCTTGCCCAAGAGGTCACTAGCACTATCAAAGGACTTGTTGAGGGTTGTCTATCCAACTCAACCCATCTAAGGACTCGCCTTCACTGGCTCGTTCAAGAACACTCAACATAGGGAAACTCACCCCAAAACTGAAGAGTTGGATTAAAGAGCATCAATCACACAAATCGCTTATTGCATCAATCAAGCTGTCCATATTAGACTATATTGAAACTTATTTAATTATCATTAGATTTTTGTTTTGTTTTGTTTTGTTTTTTTTTGCATTGACTTCCATGTAGCTCTTAGACCTCTAAAGAAAAGGGCAAGAGACATTTTCAATCTTTTGGGTATTTCTTAGAAGTCCTATTAAGCTAGTGAAATACTTTACTTTCAAAAATTTTCCTCTTCCTCTCATTCTCAGTACAAGTTCTTGGATTCAAGTCTCTGAAGTTTGCTTGTTAGTAAGGTCGGGTATCTTTCATAAATAAACTGGGATCCAACATCCTAAAAAAATGTAATTAGCATGGAATTGATGCTAGTAACTAGAATTTAGACACTGCTTGATGAATAACTAAACCATGAGCTGTTAGTGAACATGGAAACCTAAAATTACACCACTCACCAAGATCTAAATGGCTGACAAAGATGTTCCAAGATGCCTTAGTGGGGATACTAAAGCATACACTAAGAGAGAGCACCCTAAAAGGATCTTCTGACTCAATTGTTTACCGTGAAAGGCTAAAGAACAGAGAAATAACCTCAACAAAAAAATGCTGATTCCACTCGCACTTTGATAAGTGATGAGTAGAATAACCCACCATCTCAGTGTTTAAGAAGTGAAAATCCTGAACTAGTAAATTCGTTCTACAAAGAGATAACAACGGCAAAGCTACCGCCAAAGTTTATTATGCCCCATCTACTGTCCTACATAGGGAGGTTTGACATGATGATTCATGTCACCAATTTTGAATTCATGATGTTTTATATTAATGATTCCATGAAGTGTCAGCTATTCTTTATGAAACTTAAAGAGTTGACATTCAGGCGATTCACTCACCTACCTATTGGAGTAATTACCACATTTTCAGAGTTCGAAAGTATGTTTGAAACTCAATATGTGAGAGCCTATAAGGATTATAAGAGCTCACAAGCCCATTTCAAGATGTAGAATGACTTAGCAAGTCACTATGAAGTATAATTGTAAGATGTTTAGAGGGAAATACTTAAGGTAAAGGGCTTAGAGTGAGTTTTCACTCAAATAATTCTGAGATAAGGACAACGAGAGGGTTTATTGTGTTAAGCATGGGCTTACTACATCAAAAAATATTGGCTAAGTTTCTTATATTTCCATATAAACATTGAGGAGCATAATCGAGAGGTTGAGTCTTTTTCATCCACCTGCCCCAAAGAATTTGCTATTGAAACAGATTTTGTATGTGGTATGGAGCAGGAGAAAAGTCATCCAAGAGATACACAAATTGATAGGAGGCCTCTAATGTTGTGTGATCACCACCACTCAGAGCATTTGAGTGCACCTCCATAGGATATGCCACTTAGAATTATTAAAACACGAACACTAAGATTGGAGGAGCCACCACACTTCACTTTCCCTACCAATGAGAAGGTACAGACCATACACCCAATTATCATATAATCACTCTTTTGTGAGAGTTAATGTACAAGCTAGTATATACCATTCAAAATAAGGAGTTCTTAAATGTAACATACGCCTATAATGGTGAGGGTGCTTGTCAGGGACGTGTCAAGGTATTGTACACAAAGACCATGACCATGACATTAAAGAGTTATGGTGCCTCCATGGGCTTATCAAAGATATCATCAAGATGAGAAAACTAATGTATTTTATACTCATTGATCCTAGTTTACACCTATAAAAGGTTCCAATAGAGAAAAGTTGAAATGAGCCCATCCATGTTAATTCTATTCACATCACAAAAAGAAGTGCCCACCATTATGGGAGGAGAATAACTTAACTATTCCATGAAGAGTAACACCAAAATGTTCAAAATTATAGATGTTAACTTAGCTACCACCTAGTGGGTCTAGTTATCAACATCACCTTGTTCACTTTTATAAATTAGATAAGCTCTATGGTGGGAACCACTAAAATAATGTAGTAGTCATCATAGCTATGGTCATTAATTACTTGATCAAAAGTATATTGATTGACATAGATAGTATAATGAACATTATTTTAATTTTTTTAATGCAATAAATCTTCTTACCTCATAGTGCACCTGTACTTTGGGCTTCCTTTTATGACTTCTATTATGATAGTAGGGATACAAAAGGAGTATTTTCCATATCAATTAGCTAGAGTGAAAGTGACTAGCAGTTTTATAATGCAACCTAACTTAACTTGTACTTATAATAGGTTAATTTTGATTTGATGCGAGATGATAGACCCACCTAAGGCCTATGTGGAAAGATGATCTCTGGATTGATCAGAAGAAGATCCTTTCCATTGCCTAGAATCCGTTACTTGAATTATATCTTTTGTCTTCTATTTAATCACCCAGTGCCACTTATCATCCCATAAAAGGAGCAAAAAAAAAAAATGTCCTTCCATTTTATAAACATTAATGCATACACTTCTTGTTCTATCTAAAATATCATATATAATAGCAAAAAATTCTAACACCTTGGTTTATACAAAACATTCATGGCTACAAAAATAATAACTAAATAAATTCTTATAACTCCAACAACTCTGATCAACATCACTCCATTGGTCTTAAACCTTTTTTGAAATACATGTAAACCACATATTAAGCTAATAGCCTAGTAGGTTACCTAAACCTACAATTTCAATCATTATATAGTAATATAAATAATATGCATGTGATCATTCATCATATCAATATGAATATGCAATAATAAGAATATGTGACAATAATTATGAATAGTAGGAATCAATGCAATTATTTTAACTCAATAATCAATACATTCTATCTTTTTAGTATATATATCAAGTATAATACGGTAGGTGAAATCTTGAATTTATGCATATCTATATCATGTATTCTTTTTTTCTTCTATGATACGTCATCTATGTTGGTATGCATATCATAAAAAATAAGTATTCCATATCTATTGTTTGCTTGTTGTATAGTATCAATGCGTATATATGATATTCTATATCAGGTGAAAAGGCAATGTGCCATATGTATCATATTTTTCTTGTATTAATTATATTAGCCTTATCATATTCATGTATTATTCATATTCTATGGCCTGTTAATGTCATGTCGTATCATAGCATACAGTAAACAGTTAATTCATTGGGAAGTTTCTTATTTGGAATTGATAGCTATCTTAGATTTAAAAAATTCTATTCAATATTGGATGAAAGACAATAAATGAATTATTATAGAAGGGGCAATATTAATATCATCATGTTTGTTCAGAATTCTATAAAGATGACGTTTGAGTTGAGAAATCAATTTCAAAGTATGGATTTTCCTTTTTTAGAAGTGTTAAGGAGTGTTATTTTCATTTTGTTTCTAGAGATTGTGCTAGAGTGGTTGACTTTTGTTCTCATTATGCCCTCTTAGGCAATTTTTTGGTGATGTTTTCTTGGGTAGTGAACTTCCATCATATTTTATAGACTTGATTAGGAAGAACTATGATAGTTTTCTTATTTCTTAATAGCTTCTATCTTTCCTTTTCTTGATTAATGCAATTTGCAAATCTTCAAAAAAAAAAAAAAAAAAGAAGAAGAAGTTCTATTCTATTCTTACATATGTAATCCTATCATATGTGTTCATATTATATGCAAGGTAGGACATCCACATATTATGGTATTTTTTTCGATATTAAGTACTATAGGCCAACCATACATGAATCAATCTTAATCATATTAGTCCTATAAGTAGATAATCATCATATTATTCTCCATCATAAGTCATGTGGCTTTCATGTAAGAAATTAACATTTCATGCCCATTGATGTATGATATTATATCAGTCAATCTCCTTATGTCTCTATTTTCATTTCCATTTAGAATCACACCACAAACCTTATTTAAAGGAAAACTCATTGGTCCACCCTGATGTTTAGGATAATATGACTCCAACCAACCTGAATAAGTTAATCATTTCTAACAAACTTTTTTTGTTTTCACAAACATGCCAAATCATATTCATTATATTATAGCAAT